GTGGTGGTGGTGGTGGTGGTGGTGGTGGTGGTGGTGGTGGTGGTGGTGGTTTTCCGCTTCCATGTGAAAGTGACGTGTTCGTCAAAGGGTCACCCAAAGACTCAATGCAACTGGAAGACTTTGATGACCCATTGACCCTTAATGATTACCTTCATGATCCACGCCCAATGTAGATGCATCAGTCCCAGCATGGGATCTTTGGTGGAGACGAACGAGGCTGGAGCCTATGTTCTCCAATTTACCGTACGGTTGGGGATGATATCGATATATATATATATATAGATATGATATATGAGTGAATCTCAACTAGAAACTTAAAGATGTGAAGATGTTACGAACACCATGGGTTTTCCACTTCCATGTCGGTGGTTTCACAGAGTGGAACTACCATGTTCAGAAAAACGCAGGGCACTTTCCGGAGCGCGACTCTTGACTTGAAATGCAAAGCATCAAAGATTTGCGCGGAAGAGGTGAAAGGTCAAAAGTAGGGTAGTACCTGGTGATAGTTGGGGATAGAAGAGCTATAGGGCAATATATGTTTCTTTTTTTGTTTCAGGTTCCTGAAACAGTTGTTGAACATGATTATTAAATTCGTTTTTGTTTAACCCTCAACCAGGCCTCAACCAGTAATTACCCTTTGAGGCTTCCCTCGGCAACGCGGTCGTGTCCGGTGTGTCCTCCCATGTCCTCCGTCGAGTCGGGCGTCGTTCCGCGGTCGCCGAGGTAAAGATGTCTTTGATCTTGGGCCTTATGCCGCCTGGTGACCGAAGCCGATTCGGGTTTAACCGTGAAGTGGTTTAACTATGGCGGGCAGTCGCCTGAAGTTTGCGGGCAGTCGCCTCGGGAAGAAGTGAAGCCGAAGTGAAGCCAATTTGGGTGTTCTATTGGAGTTTTTTGGTGCGACTGGTTCTTGGTGACGATATCTCAATTTCGAGTATACTGCATTTCCTGACATTGGGATAGGTACCATGATTGTCACGTTGCTCGTTTCGAGTGAATCTGATTTGCCTTGTAATCCCATGTCATACCTGACTCAAAAATCCGTAGCTGTATAGACTCCTTGGTAAACCGAAACGAGAGACTCCAAATGAGCTACGACCATGGCATCCACAGCTATGGACATCCACAGCTATAGGGATGGTGGCCAATGGGAATTACAATCCAGATCAACCCAGTACCCCCCCCGCTGTCACGATCCCATGGAACCTAAGAAAGAAGACCGGTGGTGGTTTCCATCATTGTGCGAAGACCCAACCGGGCATGGTGAACCGGGCCGATCTTTAGTGGGAAGAAACGGACGCGTCCTCGCTGGAGGGAAGCAGACGGTCTCCCTGCGCTTTAGACTTAGACATGTGGATATCGCATGATGATCTCCCAATCCAAGCAGGATCTGAACAGTACGGCCACGGAAGATCAGCGATTTACGGCCATCTCCTCACGTGGCGCGCATGTGTGCTGAATTCCATACACATCTATGACATTCCACGACCTTGTCAGGATGGTTGTTGGAGAACCAAACACATGCTCAGGGGGGGGTGCCATAAACCACCCAAACTGCATACAACTGCATGGTGCAGTTGGTTGTCACACCACCCAAACTGCATGGTGCATCAACCACCCAAACTGCATGCTGCTGGTGCAGGTCAGTTGGTTGTCACATTGTTTGCCTCCTCTTCTATGGCTTCGCATGGTCGGACTTGAGCATCACCGCCTTCAGCCGGCGCCTAGTGGCCAGTGGTGTGATGATGGTGGCTCTTTGTCGCTGGACCGGTTAAGTCAGCGGCGCGCGGTATATTTTGCTTCAGAAGAGAACAAAAGTCAGTGGATGTTTCAAACGTGGCGATTGAGTGGAATCAGCCCAGTCAGGGGTTGTATTGGTATGTCATGTCTTTTTTTGGCTTACACTTACACAAAAATTTCGTTCACTGCCATGTGATCGATGCAAGTATGATGGATGTGGAAGGTTGCATGCTCCGGGTACTAGTCTTCAGAGCCTAGTGAAAGAGAGAGAGAGAGAGCCACATACAGAGTAATGTCCAGGTTGCTCTAGCAGGACTCGAATCTAATTAGATTTGGATGTGGCTCCAAGAACAACAGCCTGGAGCCCACAGCCTTTAGCAGGTTTTGATCGTCCTTTGTCCTTTAACCGGTGGGTTTGGGTACCCGATTTTGGAGCCACAGCCATTTCTCAGGAGTTTTTTTGGGACGCCTAGAGCCACAAAACCATGGTGTTACCGACTCTAGGATATCTCACCTTCGGCCTTCGGCCAACCCTGGCGCTGAAAGGAGGAGATGCCCCTCTCTTTGGGGTCCAGATGGATATGTCCAGATGGGTCCAGCTTCTATACCTCACTGATCAATTTCTTCCGGTACTTGTCCGACGACCCGTGGGTCAGGTACCGTGATGCCGGTCGTGTGCTACATCGGAATTCAGCTCATGGATGATCTCACACAATTGCCGGAACAGCTCAAGACCTTTCGCCCCTCGACCAACGTGGGTAGCCACGCGCGATTCGAGCGGGCCGACGTGGCAGCAGACGTGCTCACGGACTGCAAAGGAGTCGTTCGACGAAGGGAACAGATGTGGTTGAATGAAAGGGAACCCAACTACAGATGCCTAAGAAGAACGACTGGCATAGATTCTCTTTGTACTGGATATAGGATGACATAGGACTGGTTGCTGTGGCTGTTGCCTTCCTCCCTGCAAGGTGAAGATTGTTTTGTAAAAGATGGTAAAAGCAACACACTGAGTCTATTCACACCAGCACTCGTGACTGACTGTAAATGTAGCGGTCATCCTCAAATCTATATTGTTTAAAATATATGCACAGTGTGGCCCAGCATCGGAGCTTGGTAGTACCAGTAGTAGAGCCTCAAGCCTCAATCCTCCTCCTGTCACACCTGAGCACAAGTCCTCAAGAGTGATGCAGTCAATCCAGAGCTTTTGGGGTTTTGTGAGAGTTCGGAGCTGAGTCGCAATCCGAAAAGTGAAAGGCTTGGTGTCGTGCTTCACCCAAATGATATCAGTGAATGTGAGATTCGCAGTAGAGATGACTCCAACTTTGCCAATTTGGTCAAACTCAACACGCCAAAAAGCTGTGACCTACAAGGGAAATCCAAAGTGATGTGTGTGTTTTTCTATTCAAGGTCAAGAGATGTTTGTGTCTTCGTCTTCACTATTGGATCGATCTTGCAACGATGACAGAATACAGATAGGTCAGCCAAGAACGTTCAGCGTACGCCGCCTCACTCGTTTCGCCGCCTCACTTTCACTTGGGCAAGTCGCCACTGAAGATTGGACAATTTCAGGCGGCTTTTGGAGTGTTATCGACTCTTGTCGATCTGTGCATGGATCATCTCGGATATCCTCAAACTCAATCTCTTTTGAAAATCAATCCACCTGAAGGCCATTGAAGCTTCATATTTAGGGTGTTGACCCGCAGAACTAGGGTTTCTCGGAAAGGGCCTTCCTTCTGGAGTGTCTCGGATCGTTCGACGAAGACACGCCTCGCTGGCCCAGGTATTCAAGAGGCCAAATGTTTTTGCTGCTCATCGAATCATGTGCATCCACTAACTGGAAGGAAGCTCATTTGCGACCGGAAGCTGGTGTTTCACACCTTGAAGATGCCTGGCAGAGACGCTGTTTTCGGTCCATGCAGTTCCATACTGGTGAGTGGATATTGTGGGCATTCCCCTTCTTCGAGGGCCCCAGGCACTAAAGGCGGTCTCAATCAATGACCTGTTTGTACCCGGGTGCTTGCACAGACTTTGGATGGATTTGGATGGTATATCTAGGTATATCCATGTCAATTCCACAAGCAGACCCAATTCTTCAGCACCCTATGGGATGACTTGTATGGGTCTCGCTGGTTGGCGCCAGAGTGTTGGTTGGTGATTGAAACCAACAGGACATCATCTACTATTAAGTGGTTAATACAAGTATATATAGAAAGGGAGTATTTTCCAACCCGTTAAAATCAATCAGATTGTCGTCTCCCTTGATTGCTCTCCATGGATTTTATCTCTATATACGTTTCTCCGGCTCGTTATTTGCGCTGACGGCAAGGCACATTCTCATATTCCACACCTACCGGCATGAGAATGTGTGAGCCCTCCATGCTTTCGATTCTCCCCAAAAAACAGCACATGATGTTCGGAAAGGCGTTTCACGCGGGGTGCGCGTAAATTCCTCTTGGTCTTCGTCCACCAATCGGCCACTGGTCACAGCGAGGGATGTCAGCCTATGGCGTCGCACCATCGCACCGCCAACTGGTCTGAGGAAGTGGTTTGGTCACCGGAGAGACAACTACGAGGGAAGCCATTTAGATTTGTTCAACCAGATGATTCAGGAAGAGCTCAGTCAAACGATCCTGCAGACGGTGGGACCTTTGGATCTATTTGGAGGAGGAGGATGGGTTTTGGGGGTCGGTTTTGGTTGGTTTTGGGGTGGTGACCTGTTGTCTTCCACATATTGGTTTCTTTAGGCGGCAGGAAAGGAAGGCGGATTTGTAGGAAGCTTCAGGAACTTCACGGATGTATAAGCCCAGTCAGGTTCAAGACTCTCATGTCCGTTGAAGCATGTTGAAACAACTTCTGATTGGTTTAAGGGGCATGGTATTTGCCATGAAGAATGGTCTTTTGACTGGTTTTGGGCGATGCTGCCCACACTCACCCGATGCATTTCGGGTTGGTGGTACTCACCTCACCTCAATATACAAGACTCTTGGCTCAAATCCGAAGTCCGAAGTGGTGGTAGGCTAAAAAGAGTCTTCGGGGGGGTTGAGCCGTTCGAGTTCCGAAGCCGTTCGAGTTCCAACTCTTGGTGAAGGAATTCTTCGGTGCTTTGGCTTTCTCAATTTGAGAGACATAATACTGGCGTCAGCTTTTCAGCCATCCGTGTGTGACGCCTGACGTGTTTCCTTACAGACACAACAGCAGGTCTCTTTGTAGGAAATCCTTAGACACCCTAGACCGGACGTGCTAGTCCGTCAACTCCTCTACTCACTCCTGGTGAAGCATTGCGAAAGACCGTTGTTTCGGCAAATGCCTAGGCTATTGAATCACCGGAAAACTCCAGCCCTTCAGCCCTTGGAGTCTTCTTAAAGGGGAGTTCTTTTCCACTGAGCTGAGGATCGGACACTTGTCCCCTGAGCTACTGCATCTACATGGCGACTGAGCAGATGTTGTGGACTCGAAGTTTGTTCTTCAGGTTGGTGGACTCCAGCCAGAGTGATTGTATATATATATATATATTGCATGTGTTCGCCTCCTATAGTGATTCCCAGATGAATTCCCAGATGTTTGATCATGGAGGTGATCGGGCATGTGAAACTGAGTCAACATATCCAACAGGTAAGGATGGTTCGTTCTGCAGAATGATCGACCATGGGATTGACCCGGTCATCGTTTTTTTTTTTGTCCTATTACGTGTAACAGTCAGTACAGGGTCCAACATCAACGTTATCAACTACTTCTATATAACCATCATCATCCACTACTACTACCAGCTCCCCAAGGACGACGACCCAAGTCATCGGTGTTATGAGCTCGGTCGTAGCGACAGACAGATTCCGTTTTTGTTGGGGAGACGGTCTACTCCACCTTTTGGAAGGCTCTAAACGACTGAGATCCTTCGCCGATCTTCGTTTGGGCGGATGACCAGGTGCACCAGGTGGGTGACTGAAGGTGATCAGGTGATTCGGAGGTCGTTTTTTTGTCGGAGTTCTCGGGTGATGTTGATGTTCCTTGAGGGGTAAATCCTCTTTGGTGGGGCAATCATTCATATTAATTAAGACAAACAATTCTCGGTTCCTTAGACGAAATACAAGCTCTTGGAAGCGACCTGAAATCATTGTTTGAATTCGACGGTGGAGAGAGCCGAGAACGGAGCGCCTCATGGAGTCACGGCCGAGCTCGGTAAAATATTGAAGAACCACCACATGCCGCCAATCTGTGGTTTTCTGCAACGCGAGAGTGTGGGGCAAAGACGTGATTGAGGTTGATGATGGTTCATGGGTGAGCCATCCAACAAGTGATCATAATGGTGTTTGAGTAGTTGTCGCTGGGTTCTGATAGTGTTCTGACTGCTCATGACTCTTTCTGCAAATTCATTGACGGGATTTGTGTTAGAATCTGAGAACAATTCCCAGGTGGTTTTTTCCTTGAGGGGTCTGCCGATGGGGTCCCTCTATGGCAAGATGAGGTGAGTGCCGGAAACCTTCCCTTCATGGCTCAGTACATCCCTCGTGTAGCATCTTGGACTGCAACTGACGTGCGTTTCTTCTGGGACTTGAACCAAACAATGGTTGGTGGTCGGTGGCCTTGGAATTTTGAGATGCAAGGTTTTTTTCATTTTTCATATAGATTCACTCAAAATCATTTGGTCCTTACTCCTTCCTCATCCCTCCTGCAAATGTTGATCCCTTCTTCATTTTCTGTTTTTTTTGGGTGGAAGGGATGACCAAATTTGCCTTTTCGGCGGCTTCGCCCCCCCTCCCCTTCACGACGCAGGGGGTCTTGCTTTCACCTCTGAAATGGTGACTGTAGGGTCTCGCTTTGAGATTATATCATATACTTCTTCCAGTCGTTCACACTGAACAGGGGTCACGAACGGAGGATGGGGGATCCGAACGAAGGGAGGAAGTCGGGGTGTCACATCCACTGATGGATGTGACGTTCCCACCACTTTGTGACTCCTGCTTGATGGCTGTTATTTTTAACTCATATGACTCATATGTTCACTGGGCTCGTGCTGCTGTGCACAGAGTCCGCGAAAACATTCACCAATCGGCCCTAGAGAACTCATGTGTTCACTTTGGGTCTCTCCCATTGCCAGTAACAGTCGGTAACTATTTTAGAGAAATGCCTTTACATTGATGAATGTATCCAGCATCACAGAAGCCTGATCAAAAATATGTAAAAACAACAACAACTACAATTCTTGAATTTAATAACTTCAATATATATATATAGAGTATCCTTCAGAACGTTCAGACCGATCCTTGGTTCCGTTTCCAGTTGGACGTTTTCTTTAAATGTCGCTTTGCACCCACGGTATGGGTCGTTCGACCCCACCCGGACCAGTCCACCGGGCATGGGTATTTTGCCAGTCCGTCGCCTCGTGCCAGTCCACCCGGTCTGCCCAATGGTTGGGTGACTGAGCATCGGGCTCTGAAATCGGATCGCTCGCAGGTTGGCAGGTTGGAACACCATTTCAAGTGGAACAAACACATGGAACACCATCATTTTCGTAGACGTTCTTCGAAGGGGACCGGGTTGGAATTCACCAAGGTCCAAGCACGCACCGAACAACAAGCAACCACGAGTTCTTTTTTGGGTCAGGTTTCGGCGGACAGGATGGGAACTAGGGAACGTCAACCAAAAGATGAGGAAAATGGATTGGAAGATGAGAAGATTTGGTAACTGCATACAGTGTTGTTATTACATTTATATACCCAGACACTCCATGTATGCCATATATGCCTACATTAGGGTGGTTTTGCGGGTCAATGTAGGCATATATGGCATACATGGAGTGTCTGGGATATATACAGTGGGGCTTGGACATCTGAAGATTCTTCGGACATCGTGCTTCGGACATCGTGCTTCCGAGACTTCTCCTGGTAGGATCACAAGCAATGTATCCTCAGCCTCAGGCGGATGAATTGCGTATGGATACATCGCCGCTGAACCACTGTGTTCCTTGGCTGCCACAGGGGTTCATTGTGTTCCTGGGTTGTGGGTTCAGTATAGGAGTCAAAGTGGAAAGTTCTTCCCACACCCAGGTTTCATAGAGACCAAATGCTTTCGACACCGCCTGATGCCAAAAAAAGATCGGCTTGGCGGCAAGGGACCCTAGATGCTCTATAGATGCTAAATCCCCGATATGACAGCCTCAACTCTCATGTTTGCGTCCGCAAAATGCTGCTCCATGAAGCTTGGCCCCAGGGTCTCCTGATTAATCAGGTTGTACAATGGTGGCGCGCTCGAGCGTCTCTTCTTTGAGCACCACAACATCAGCTTGGAGAAAGAGCTCCTTTTCCCAACCTTATCTCCCCCTTCAAAGTGGTCAAATTGTTTCCACTTGTTTGGGTGCCTTTGCAGACCATGGCCAAACAAGAACATGTTAGTCCGCGCTGTTAGACTCTCCCCGCACCTGTGGGTAGGAGCGGTCCGACCAGCAGTATATACTGTGCGGTCCGCGACTGAGGATGTCTTCCATGAACCCCACAATGAAATCTCACTGAACTCTGATCATGACAATACAATCACCGGCACCCACCATATGCCTTCCCCTGGCTTCGAAAGTTTTTGTTGCGATGCCCGTCCCAAGGTGGTTGCTGCGCGCCAGTGGCTAGTCCTGGACGTGAACGGTTGCGGGTGGTGTGGTGTCCGGGAGACTTGCAGACAGACCAGGACTTGAGTCAAACAAGGTGGATGCCCGATTGAACTCCAGCACCTCATTCGGTGGTGGCCGCTAAAATTGGAACATATAGTATATGGTCGACAAAGCAGAAAGGTCGAGAAAGCTTTCAATTTCTAACAGCTTGATTTTGTGCTCGCTCCCAAGATGCCCTCTGAGTACTTTGTCATCGTTGAACTCTATGTGCCAGGATTTTTCAGCTTGCCCCTTGAAAGGCCAGGCTGATTCTGTTTGCCTTGGTAGAACCCATTCAATTACAGTTGAGAATATTCTTAGACCAGACGAACACACCATTTTGTGTGTGACATCCTGACAGAGAGTGCTTTCACTACGTAGATGCCGACGTCGGTCCGGGCAGGGCAACAAAGCGAAGCATCGACGTTGAGCATCCCTGAAGGGCCGAAGAGTCTCAATCAAAATGACGAAGTAAGATGAATCAATGTTTCTCTCTATATATATATATGCTTATGCTTATATTATCATCTATTTTTTTTCTAACATGTTCTATGTTTTTTTTAAAGATATAGTTAGATAATAATATATATAATATATACTGTATAATATATAAAAATGTTATGTATTATATAAATACAATGTTGCTAGGTGTTTATCTTACAGTACATCATCAAGACCCAAATGTGCACCATAGACTGTCACTAGTCACTAGCCTGAGGGAATGGAAGCATATAATGACAATACATATCCCTTCACTTTCGTTATCCTGAGCCAGCCAGTCTCCAAACATATCATAGCATATCTCGGCCTAAAATCGATCAAGTGCAAGGTGTATAGGAGTGCGTCTTTTGGTTCGAGCTCATGTTCGACACCGAGGACCATCGTTTCACGATCACCGTCGGTCTCCTAAGCGTTTCCGAACGGTTTTGCTGAACGCTGAAACCGAGGTTTATGGCTTGGGCGATCATGTCGCTCTTGAGCAACTTGGACTGGATCATGTCAACATGTTGGGGCCCAACATGTGCGGTTTGTGCACTTAGAGCGGCCAGGCGTGTTTCCTGGCATGGCTACACAATCTTCACATGTATATGTTATTGTTATTTCAGCTATTTCTTAACTACTATGTAACGTAGTTAAGGTGATGTCAGCTCAAGGGACGTTGGTTCATTGTTGATATATCTTATTTTGCATCCTGTTCTTCCCCGGCCGCCCGCAACCTGCAAGTTTAACACCCGCGTGACAGTCCGACTGAGGCTTGTGTGCGGTCCGCATCAGCATGCTTTTTTTGGCGGGTGGGTTTGCACTGGAGCAAAACCTCTTGGTTAAAGTCCAGGGGGCTGATCTCAGTCGCTCGGCGTTGGGGATTGAGGAGGACGATGAGGACGTTGGGTGGTTTGGGATTCACATAAAATATGTTCCTTTGTCTTCTGTATTCTAGCACTCAACCATACTCAACCCCTTTCCACTCAAGCATGTGTGTGTGGCATGGGATTGGTTTTCCCGATATTGACAATGCAAACGATGGATCAATCAACGCACCATCCAGAAGGCCAGAAGGTTCTAAGTGTCACACGCACAACTTGGTACTTTTTGGAAACCGATTGGAGGGAAAGCATGTTGGAAGGTCATGAAGAAGAATTTGGTTGGAAGACTGCAATGGTCAATGATATGGGAGGAGTTTTGTGGCGTACGTATACAGTACGTGGCGTCATATGGTGCAGGGAAGGTTCACGTTGTTCTTTGCTGGATGCAGAACCTGAAGAACAAAAACACATCCTCCATATTGCTGGTATTTGCTGGCAAGTAGCAGAATCTTCAACTCATTGGCTGCAAACGCAGCATTTCAGGTGCTGATCTCGCTGTTGATCGTTTTGACCTTATCACTGCCTCTTGGAGCGTTGTCTGGGCATGTTTTTTTCCTGTCGCAAACATTTCAGTATGTTAGCCTGATCTGAGATATCTAAGATATGATCCAGGAACACCATGAAACCAATTTTGAACTGTTAAAATCTGTGTGAAATGTAACATATTGAGACACACTATAGGTTAGAGAAGGGGGGGCCCAACGCTGGCAAATGTGAACGTTTGAAACCTGTAGCTCCATCTGGGTTATACATACAGACGAAGGATGACGAAGGCAGGCATAACCCGCAAATTGCACCGACCTTCTCTGAGCACGGGTCGAATGACCTAGACGCAGCGTCGATCTCGAAGGCACATGTAGGACGCATAGGATCATCTACTCATGGTTGCAGACGCTTCAGAATTGGCGAATCGAGCGACTCTAAGACATTGACAGCAGATTCTTCGGTGGATCTCGGCCGCGACGTCCATGACCTCCGAGAGTCCTTCCCCTCGAGTCTGACAGGGTCCACATCTTTTGGTGACAAAAGAGGCTAGGGGATGTTCATGGGACCGGTGTTTGGTCTATTTTCGTCCGGGATCGGTGGTACTTCATTGGGTGCCCTTCAGCCACACCAAGATCGGATCAGATTCGGAATGGATCTGTTGAACCATATCCCTGAAGTGGCCGGGACTTAACAAGACCTTTAAGGATGCAAAGATCGACTTGCTGTGGTGTGGTGTGAATCTGCCAACAATGTGTGAAGCTTCGTTTCACTATATATACAGTTGAGTCGCACAGCAGCTGCAAGAGAAGGTCCCACGATTTCGGGCAAGCCACGACATGCCACGAAAATGCTTTAATCGGTGTGATCGCTGTGCGGAAGAACCCGAGGTTGTGGTTTCCATTCCAAGTGGTCTACGCCTTAACCTCGCGTTACAGTAGCATCCCGGCGGTGCCCTTTGGCCTGGTGCCTTGGAGATCGCTTAAGCTGTTGGTGGAGCTTTCAAAAGACCCCCAGGTTGGAGAGCCTGCTGTAGTACAAAAATCGGCTGGTAGTCACAAACAGTTCGCTCCGCAGCTCAGCTCAAGTGCTTTGCGTTGACAACAGCACCACCAAACACCAAAGTGTTGTCGACGTTTGTCTAGCGAGGTTTTTACAGGCGTCAAACTAAAGCGAGAGTTTTACCCACTTTCCATGGCATGTAGCTTCTTGTAATTGTAGTATGGCCAGGAGCTACTAATTAGTAGCTTCTTGTTCCTAGTAGCGATGCAGGGAGCCCCTACTAGCGTCCTTGTTACTAGCTTTGTCCCAGTCTGTGGAATCACTTGAACCGCATTGGGGGTCTGGGTATTCGTGTACCATCGCGGGTGAACCGCTCCTGTGCGAGCAATTGTTCACAATGATCAATTTCAGGTGGGTGCTTAAAGTGAAGTCAAGGCAAGTTGCACCTTGAAGTAGGCTTGAAGTTTCTATGCTCCCTTCCCCCCGCAAGGAAGTGTAGGAAGAGAAGTGCAGTTTTTGTGCAGGACAGAGTTCACACCGGTAGCGAAAAGGTAGATGCCTCCTGGAGACAAATTGCACATGCTTATTGAATCAAATGCTCAATTGACTGCTGCAACCTGGAACAGCAGAACAGCAGTAAGCTTAGGCGGTGTAAGTTGTTGGTCATGGCACGCATGCAAAGGCAATTATTGTGTCAAAAGGAAACCTCCAAAACAAGTGGTTGCCCAACGATTTGATCCTATTCCATCGAATCTTCATTCCAACGGCCACATGACTTTGCTTGGTTTTGCTGGATTTCTTCCCAGCCAGCGAATTTGACGGTTTTGCAAACGGCTCCCTCGCCATGTTCAGAGGAATGTAGAGACCATGGCATCGATCAGTCCTGGGGTCACTGGGGTCTTGGTGATCTTGGTGATCAATGCAGGTGATCTTGGTGCTGTTCTACCTCTTCCTCCCACGAGAGCCTTGACTGGTTTGCTGGACATCTCTGGACACAGCGTTGGAGCTGTTCTCGTTGTGTGCTCAGCCATTGATGCCTTCCTGGTCGATCAAATCGATCGTTTTGAGGGAAAGGGTTTGTCCAAGCAAAGACCTAAAGAGCTTGATCATTTCCTCCGGTCCCAGAATGGACAGCCACCACCAACCTGTATAAGTATTCAAGCAACTGCACTGGGGGTTCAAAGGCCCTCTATATTGCTTGGGAAAAGATATATATTATATATATAATATAATATAAATATATATATATATACCCAGATGATCCAAACAGGCCTTGACCCCTCTAAATATAGAGATTTGAGGGTCCGGACGTTTGGGTAGCACATCTCTGAACGTCCACAGTCAGAAGCTGGAGATCTTCGTCGCCCATGGTAGCGGTCATAACGGATCTAATTTTTCCACACGCGAAGCGAAGTGGGCCAAAGTCATCAACGTCAGGGTCATTGATGTGAAACAGTGAAGGACATGTGACATTGGGAGTCAAACATTGAAACCAACAACAGAACACTTGCGCCATCCTCCTCCTCCTCCTCCTCCTCCTCCTCCTCCTCCTCCCATCATCATCATCATCATCATCATCATCATCATCATCATCATCATCATCATCATCATCATCATCATCCTCATCCTCATCCTCATCCTCATCCTCATCATCCTCATCCTCCTCCTCATCCTCGTCCTCATCCTCATCCTCATCCTCGTCCTCATCCTCATCCTCATCCTCATCCTCATCCTCATCCTCATCCTCATCATCCCAACATCCCAGCATCCCAAAATCCCAGGCACAACACCTCAAAACAGTCTTCGCTCGCCTATCCCGCCTTCCCCCAAAGGAATCCGCACCGACCCAACGCCTTTTCCGCCGTTCGCCCTTTTGTTCCCACCACGCCAACCGGGGCCCCGCTGCCCCGCCGGCGGGGCGACGTTCGGGCGCTCCCGACGGTGGCGTGGCCTCAGGAGATCCAACACTCGCGCCAGCACTCCTTACGGCAAAAGCTCTCCGACCGCTACCGCTCCCGGCGCTCGCTCAGCCGTCGGGCCTCCTCCGAAGGCGGGGCCAGTCACGGAGGGGCCAGGACGGCCGTAGACCGCCCCAAGGGGGGCGGTGGAGACGGGTGGAGAGGTTTGGATGTGTGGTTGTTGTGTTTGTTTTTAAAAATAGAACATGGTGGTTTGCATGGCTCTAGACTGAATTCTCGCAATGCCCCATGCTTTTTTTTGGGGGGGTGTCAAGGGAATCCACCTGGTGTGTAGTCCTGGTGAATGCGAACACTTCGTGGATCCCTTCCTTTGAGCCATCCCTCCGTAAGTGATCATCATCGTGAGTTCCAGTTCCGTTGACCAGTGCGAGATCGGCCAAGAGTTGCACTTGTGAGACAGATGTGGGCCATATAATCCCTTCCACCGCACCTATTAAAGAACCCTTTATAGGTTTTGCAGTGGGCCGCGTTTTTTAAAGGTACTCGCGAGACCCACGGTTTTCGGAGGGTGCTCAAGCCAGCTGAGACCTTCCAACCGCCGTGGCGGGAGACGACTCTTGGGATCAGAGGACAGAGACATGAACAATGACCTGTGACACGGGTGCCAAATAGAGGTCCAATTATGTCGAACTATGACCAACCTGGACCAACACCTGGACCAAAAGTTGAGTGGACACTCGGTTTTTTCTTCGTTTGTACAACTTGGAAGCTGGTAGTAGAGTTTACCTAGGCTTCCAACCACAAATTGATTTGTATATATATAGTATAAATTGCTTTAATGCTGTTTGAACCATTGTTTTAAGATGTTTTAAGGGTTTCACAAGTGGTTTCACAGTTTTACACTATTACACGGTCAAATCGTTCAATGGTGTTGGTTTCGACGGGTTTCAGTTCCAGCCGGAAACCGGCATCTGACCCCACCGCCCTACGACTCTGACCGCCCCTTTTTTGGGGCCCACCGGTGCCAGGCACCTTCTGCTCGGACCAGGCGGGTGAAGCAGCCAACCATTCGGAACTTCGAGCGGAATAGTGATGGGAGCGATGGGAAGAGAGAAACAAAAGAAGCATGTGTGAAAACTGGGTGTTCCAGTTTGGGTGCTGCAGTGTGTTTCTTTTTGTTGATTGTTTTTTGCATGTTTATCCTCATGACTCGAACTAGAGCAAAAGAGGGTTTGCCTTGGTGAGAAATATGAGAACCGCCAAATGACACCCAGCCAGAGCACTCGATTGTATATTATGATTGTATCGAAATACTAAAAGAACGTTTCGATCTGCAGCATGATTTATTCTCTAGCACACATGAACACCACACAAATTTGTGGGTTTTAGAGGAGACACGTGCACATGTGTGTGTGTGTGTGTTCCTCTCAACATTTCTTCAAAGGAAGCATTGACATCTCGATGCGGTGAGAATCCACTTAGTGAAGCTTTCCAGACCATCAGTGTATGGAATAGTTACACAATCTCCATGTGTGATCCCAATGAATGTACACTCCCTGGAACTAACATGATTGCGTGGATGGAATGGCTGCAAAAGGAAGACCATGAAATCCAAATACCAAACAGGGGGTGCCATCCACTTCCATGTTAGTTCCAGGGAGAGTAACCTCACTGAAATTTCAGTCCCAACCATGTCCAATGTGAGAAACATTCTAAGTACGCCTTCTCCGGTGCTTGCGGGTTGATCCGCCGGCGCTGGCTTTCGACCGCGCTCCGCCAGGACATCTTCTCGAATGGGACCCGGATGTCCAGGGAGTCGAAGGAGCGTCGCAAAACGTCTGGTGAACGGACCATTCTGTTTGGGTGTGGCTGGAGATCTCTAAGTGGGCTGGGTAGTCCAGCCAGAACACCACAGGCAGACAGGATGGTCCTAGTAGTTTGTTCCTTAGAAAGACACTTGATTCAGTGATGTTCAGCGTAAAATCAGCAAACACATGCAATGTGGTGGTGATATATGTGATGATCACGATCCCAAAACCACGACGGCGACGGCGATGGCCCCAGCTCCGCCCACACCCCACCCTCCCAGCGATGTCTCTTTTGTGACTTCAGACGTTTATGTTCAACCTTAACTTTACGTGGGATTGATTGAACCCAATGACTAATATCGAATCCAACCAGTGCATGTTGTCTCCTTGCACCCTCACGATTCACGATGAGAGCTGCCATTGCCGAAACGAGAGCTGAGCTTTCAGGTGGATGGATCAACTCCAAATGATCGACCGTTTGATTTTATTCCCATCACAATAAGCTTCGGGGGGGCTGCCAAAAAGCAGTGCAGCTTGCCCACTCGTCTCAAGACACACACCAAGACAGGCCCCAGACTTGGGCACCGCGACGGCACCCTCCGTTCAGCACCCAACTCCATGAAACAACTGATGGGATTTATTCAGTTGATGAGATCCATTGCGAGTGACTTGTTTTGTTCATACCTTCCACTCGCCCCAGTGGAGTGCGGCGGAGGGAGGGAGTTGCCGCGGAACGCGGTCTAGATCGCGTCCACGCCATCGAGGACCTCTTCTCCAACACGTCGAGGGGACCATCCAAGGAGTGACGTGCCACGATTCTCCATTTTCTTCGGCGTGGGGAATGTGGATGCACGAGCGATCGAAAAGAAACGCCCAGGCATCGGACGCGGACCTGCTTTTGGGGCCGAGTGCGCCGCCGTCATGGTTCGGAAAGTTCCAAAGAACCCGTCTTCATTGTACCCCAAAGATTGGAGTCCTTTTCGCGGCAAAGACCATGCGGTGAATGTTTGCAAGTTGCTGGGTGCATTTTAGCCCTGGATTCCGGTGTTTGCTGATTGGAGATGATTGGAGTCAAAAATGATGAACCATTAATACACGCCCCGTGAAAGTCATGTCGCCTTCCAGCTGAGTCTCTCCCGTTCTGAAGAGATCGCTGCACTCCAAGCGGACATCCTCCAGGTCCATCGTCGGCGTCCTCAAGTGAATGGACCATTGACTCGGGTGACTGGCCGTGAACTCTTTGAAACGATCATTCGGCCGGGAGTGTACCCTGGTTGAAAACTACTGCTTTGGACCCTTTTTTCATCCGCTTGGGGGCAGGAAAACAGTCTGACTCAGGGTGCCAAAACCGACCCAGGTTCATGTCCGTTTTTGGGAGTGTATTCAGTTTTGTACTTGATACATCTTGATACCCCATGTGGGCCTCTAAACACCTCCACACCATCCCGCGCCATTGGAAAAGCCATGGTGCACAGGAGCCCTTTCATTCGGATGGTCCATCACCTGCAAGTGGCCCTACCAGGGGATCCAAGGCGCGCCAGGGTGGAAGAACGACAGCGAGATGCGGGGGCTTTTGATTGACCATGCCAACGATGCAGCTCGTTGGGACATGTTGCGTTTGTGGCACGTTTCAATCCATTCCTCATCCCAGACAGGTCGTGTCTTGGGCATTGCTTTCCGGTGGTGACGTGCTGCTCAGTACGGTGCTGAACGTGTCGGGGTGCTGAACGTGTGCTGGTGACTCCTCGCAGTTTCGGTTCCAACGACCTCGCAGTTTCCAGCACCTTTGCTGCTAAGGGGTTCCATGTAGGTCAACATCAGGCTGGCCCCACACATTGACCATCCAATTTAGGTGCCAAAGAAGTACAACATACAAAGGAAATCACAACAAAAGTGCAACATGTTTGGTTTCGATCACCCCCTGGCCTGATTGGAGGAGGTGACGAAAGAGATGTACGACATGTACGTCTCCAAGTGTCTTAGCTGATGAGACCAGTACCAGCTCTGGTGGCCTCAATGGTTGCCAAGCCAGAAGATGAATACGCCAGGAAGGATTCACGTGGAACCTGAAATTGAACCTTTGGAATACTATTTTCCTCTACAACCCAGTTGTTGTCAGGTTCCACCGAAGATCCAAATAGGTGGTGTGAACTCCACACGAAGAGGGCCACACGAAAAGGAAAAGGCCCGCAGGAAGAGGCCGAACATCCCGGAACTAGTACAGTTCCCTGTTGGATGTGATTGGGTCCGGATTCTGAGGGCCCGGGAGTGGTTATTCCATGTTATTCCAAATCCTCTCCAAGAACTTCTTAACTCATCGGCATTCCTGACTCCTCTTCACGTTGGGCGGCGGTCTAGGGCACCCGCTCCCTTTGGGAGCCCATGTTTGGGATCTTCGTGTTGAACCGAGTTTGGGAGGGTACAGAAAAGGAGTGCACATGTTTGAGCATCCTCCAGAGTTTGGGTGTGATGTGTTGATGTATGTGTTGGGTTTCTTCATGATTCAAAGAGATTCAAGTCTTCAGATGGTGTTTGCGAGCCTCGGATGTGATGATGCCTTTTGTTTGGCTTCTTTGAAGCATTTCTATCCCGCCGCTGAGATCCTTTTCATCCATTGGTTCCATTGAGAGCATCACTGCAACACGTGAAGGACGTCACGCGAGTCCCGCGCTGCTGGAATGTGACGTTGAGTCGGTCGTGAAACCGGATGTATACCCATTGGTGCGGTATTGGTGGGGTGCCGCAATTGGTGCGGTTCCTGGTGTTGCGAGTGCAAGGGGTGATGTGAAGAACCTGATGTGTCTTTTTGCAGGAACTCTGCACTTCATCCCGGTCTTCTGTAGGGAATACCAAACCCAGACACGACCTGTCTGGGACTGCCAGTTCGGACTGCCGCGCCAGCCAGACCCCCCAGTCAACCACCCCGAACGGCCGTTTTGAAGGCAGTTGGGCACGACATGTCAGGATGGCTATTGGCAAACACATAAATATGGGATGCGGCGGGTCTTCTCAAACACCCGAGGTTTTTGGGTGGTTCTAGTACGAATTGTTGTGCTGGTGATAGAAATGGGGGATGGTCATGGGAGTAGCCCCCCCAAACCTCTTTGCACAAAGCCAATCAGGGCAACACTATATGCCCAATCGTCATATATTTGCCACTCGCCACGGGCCATGTCATCCCATTCCCGATCGAGTTCATCAAGCAGGGTAGGCTTAGCCTAGACTCCATGAAATGAAAGCTTGGAAGGCGACAGAATAGTTATTCTAGGGTCTGTCGATTCTTACCTGTAACAGTTAGTAAACAATTATCACTACTTTTGGACCAGACCTCTAATTACTTATATACCATCATGATCCACTGCTACAGGTAATAGGATAGACCCAAAGTTATTATGTGTTAGATTATTTGAGAATGTTTGAGATTCTTTATGAGCATGCAGCATACTGCTAGGCCGGAAATCTCCCACTATGCTCAAGACTTCCCCAGAAAACATGTTTTGCAGCATCCCCCCACCAAAAGAGAGTGCCCTGCCCAAGGGAAACATCTTCCGCGTCCCGAACTCAACCCATGTGACTACCCTCGAACGTCACTCTGCAAAGAAGAGAAGCAAATGAGCGCAACACCTCAAAATGAGCATGAGTGACTGCATGAGTGCAACACCCTGCCATGGTTTCAAGGGCCACCTTTTGTTCTTCACACCGGTTCTTAAGCACCAGGAGAAGGTCTACCAGAAGCTCCACATTTGCCGTCACTTCCGCACTCTTTGGGCGAAGTCCACAAAGGCCGGCGACCAACGAGTGAGTCGGCGACCGGCGCGGCCGTGGCGACCTTGCAAGTGTTTCCACGAACGGCGACCTTCGCACCCCCCCTCAAAAAAATAGAGACAAATCCGAAGGGGTCCGAATCAATCCAAATCATGTGATGATGAGATAATGAGGAGCCCAAGAACTAGGAGAATGATCCTGTGGATTGCTTCGTTCCGGACGACTGGGGCGGATCTCCTCGCGTTTCGTGCGGTCCTGGCGGACCACCGGCTAAGGCTGGCTACAAGAGACAAAGACTTGGGACACCTGAGCGGAACCGCCTCACACACACACGCGGGTGCGACACCCGCGTGTGTCCGGCAACTTTGTGTAACGAAAACCCCGCAGAAAGCATAGAAGAAGCACATTCAAAAAGAACTTATAGAACGCCAGTTGCTTTGTTTCCTTCAGTGGACCACTCTGATTTGTAGAGGAAAACGGTTTAATTTCCGTCCAGACGTTCCATGATTCCAGACCTTCAGGCTCTCAAGGATCGGAGCTTCCGGATTTGGGTTCCGAGCTGATCCCTTTTGGGGGTTCAACAGTCACGTCTTGGATTATCTGGGTGACTTTGTGAGAAGCTTTTTCGGAAGGCAAGTCGAGATGCCATGTGTTTTTGTTGGAGCTTGTTCCATGTTCTTTTAACTGTGCTTCGCTCGCAAGGGGCTGAAGGCTGTTCTATCCTCCAGAGTTGAATCGTCGCTTCTTCGCAGCTGTTTCGCAAGTCGGAGCACGGGACCCGCGCTCTGACCCGACTCGGAGTCGGAGGCTTGTATGACTCAGAAGATGGACATTGGATTCCCCCCACTCAAGAAGAAGACATATTAATATGTTTCTGAGTTCTTCACTCTAAAAAAAGGAAAAACGAGGGACCCTGCTTTTCTCACCGAAAATGGACAGGCAGAATAGACTACTCTATATAAGATTAGGGTTCCGGGTTTTGACCCAGCCATGTAGCGGTCCTTGAGGGGTTTCCGTTGCAGTCTCGCCAATAGCTCGGACGTGGTATGTCATGGCTTCCACGGAGTACAGTGGGATTCCACCGGCTAATGGAATCGCTGGTGCCGGCGAAGCCGCAGCTCCAGCTGTTTGGAGAAGGTACGCCAAGTCCTGAAGAGGATATGGGCGGACCACAGGTCCTGTAGGCGAACAAACAATCATATCCCCCCGATACCAGGACCTTCCCAGTGACCTCTTGAGATCCCAGAATGAGGTCACTTAGGTCTTGAAAAGGTCACTTGCCAATCCTGAAGTTCGGTCACCGGGAAGGTCCTGGTATATACTATATATATTTATTTAATGAAGAGGTTTTAATCCGCTGGGGGGGTGTTTGCTTAAAGACACCCCTTACACTTGGGCACGCCACGAAAAAAAGATTGCCCGAAAAGCAGCTATGAAGATGGTCCGTGATGTGATCCCTTTTTGAGACTCCAGGTGAAAGACACAGAGTGCGGACGCTCGTACGTCGAACTGATGGGCGATCCAGTTATACAGACTTGTATACTGTATGATATATGGATATATTTACCTACATTGGGGTGGTTTGAGGGGTCAATGTATTCATGGAGTGTTTGGGAGTTTTACATCGAATATATACCAGCTGCTTTGACCACGGGTTCACCTGGCCGACAAAAGCGCCACGGGTTCACCTTCACTACTTATTTTATATTAATATGATGTCTCCACTGGACACCCGTCACCCATTGATTGGAAGCGCTACGTAGGTCCCAAGCAAGTACCGAGATGCCGAGATGGCCTAGATTTTGGGTCTCAGTCGAAGGAACACCCGTTTGAGACGCCCAACACACGGCCACGAGCTCAGGTCAGTTTAGCATAGTTTAGCATGTATGTTTTTTTTGTTTTTTTTTTGTATGTTTCTGGTACATGGATCAATGGAGAAGGTAGTTAACAGTTAACCCTCATGTTCCAAGAACACGGAGGGATCAGGCATGATGATCAGGTATATAAACCCATTGGGCCAATGACTTGCCCTCATTCTAAGACCGGATAAATTTCAGGACCGGCATCTTTCCTTTCCATCCGTTCACGAGTGGAATTGAAGCTCTACTGAGCTCAAGGTGCCCGATGAGAAGGATGAGCAGCCAGGGGTGGAAGCAATCGACATCCATCGACGAGAACAGTCGCTGTGGGGGCATATCTCCCGGACAAGTGGCTAACCTGCCCAACCTTTGTGGGGGATTGGGGAAGCCTCACTCGAATGCAACAAAAGTTTGCTCAGACATTCCAGGGATCTCCAGACTCCCGCACTCCACATCCGGGTTAGGAGATTGTCTGAAGAGGGGAAGGTGCGGAAGAGCTTGAAGAAGTTTTGACGGGGGTCGGACTGGAAGGTGACAAGGGAGCATTTCAAAGTGATGATCTGCTGAGCATCAAGATGCATTAAGGTAATTGCAACCAAATTCGCATTGAGTGCGCTTGATTGGTGCATCCGTCCGGAGACTGGGGGGGTCTTTTGATTGCACAGACAATCCCAGACCATGCATGTAATAATGGAACAATTTGTCCAATAATGTTAATATTATAAAGATTCGATCATGTATGATAATGTTAAGTACCCCTTTGATGGCCCTGATGTAGGCTGCAAAAATACATGGATGGTGTGGGAAAAGATGATTTGGCCCACAAGAACTTGCCAGATCGACTGTCCAGATGAAGCAACCAAGTCGTTGGTTCTTGAAATCAAACCTTTTCCCCCACCTGTATCGAAGCATCCGATTAGCTACAGTTGACAGCCTTCACCCACTGGAAATGCCCTCAGAATTTCTGGCTGCCTGGCCCTGCTCGAAAGCCCAAACCGTGGGGCGTGAGACAGGGCCAGAGGCTCATGGCGACACCCGTGGTTCGTCAATGACTCAGCTCATGGCGACACATGGCTGGCTGAGTTCAAGGATTTTTGCCAAAACCAGCAGAACATCACAACCGTCCTTTTTTGGGGGGGAGCAATTGACTTGAGCAAGCATCAGTTGGTTAAGCAGTTGAGGGTCCAGAAGCAGGCAGGAACTGACAATTTATTGGGAGAGCAGATCAGCTATGAGTTTGCACAAGAGACCAGGTCAACCTTCTCAAACGTGCGAGTATAATTTACCTTGGATCTTCATCCATCCCCGAAGAGTTTCAAATAGAATTATCATAAGTCATCTTATGAGTCATCTTGGCAATCTTGACTACCACAGTAATCCCTTCCACCATCCTCCATCCATTTATATAAGAAAAAATAACATGCCCCCCCCCCGCTCTCCCCTAATAAACAAATAACAATAATGACACCGGGGTCGTTTTTATTAATAGGGGGTCTTCTAAATAGGGGGAGCTGCAAAGATGGAAACCTGGGAAGAGCTTTAGAACCGCAAAGTTGCCGAGGAAAGCTATATATAGCCTTTCAACATCTTTCAACTTATCAAATTCGTATCTACCAACATTGAACTATTGAAAAGACAAACCTCGAGATCGCAGGGTCTTCCTTTTCCCTTTACAAACACCTTTATTAGAATAGTGATTCTTCGATGTTCTTCGAACACTTTTCATCAGACTAACAACTAAAGATTTTGAAAGGTGATGTCGCTATACCATCCGGTTTTGTGCCGCCTCTGTGGAGAGTGCGTTTGCCTGGCTCTGTGCCATGGGGGAAGGGCGCGGGGGGGGTATTATTGGTGGTGATTCTAGTGGGTGGGTACCTACAATTGTTATATCAATGTTTGTAGCTTAATAACATTTTCAGAAGGTGGCGGTAATTTAAAGAAACATGTAAACTGTATTTAGGGGTCTCCGACATGAGTTTTGTTTTGATTGGGTAAGTTTGTTCAATGGGTGGTTGGGAGTAGCTTCAGCAACCTCACTCACTCAGTATATAGTACCTATCATTGGGTGCTTGAGAAACCATTGTGGAGCATGAGATGCTCATGATATATTGCCTCAATCAACCCGACTACGGGTGTTTCTGGAACCTAATCTCTTTGTGATTGCACAGGGGAAGTCCAATATTGTCGCATGCAGGGAATGCCGTTCTGGTGTTTTTGTTTCCAGGTCATTGTGACAGAGTTTCTTCAGAACCATTGCCTCGCTGCAATCACTGCACCTCTCTCAGTCTTGTTTCAGGGTGGCCGCCGTCGTCCAAGGGGTCAAACGAGTGGATGACGTGGGCTGACTGAGCCCTCAGTTGATCGGGTGTGAAGGCCTCCGGAGGGCTCCGGGGGGGGCCACCCTGATGTTTGTCTTGCACAGACACGCGCCCGGGAGGGCGTACTACTACGCCAGGCAGACCGAAGGGCTTGCTGTCAAACGCCAGAGTGTTTACCTAACCGCTGTAGTGAGGTGGCCAAAGGGTAACAGCAAGTAAGTTCACCAACAAACAGCTGGAATTGATGTAATGTAGTGTATGACTGCTGTATTGCCTATATTATTTCCATATACGGAGGAGCAGCAACAACATCAACAGCAGCGGCTTTACATATACTCTGGATAGGATGTAGTAAAATATAATCACCTAATGAATCCTAAACATGATGAAAACTCTTTGTTTAATGCTTTTCCCTTCTCCATCCCTTTTTTTTAGGGCCAGTCCATGAAAACGGCGTGGCCAAACGTCGGCGGTATAGTTCGAGGTTCGCCTTGTTGAATTGGATCCGACTCGACTCCTGTCGACATCACATGGGTCGATCGGTGGAACGATTGGACGAAGCCGACTTTTGGACCGACTCCGGTTTGGGCGTTCACCAAATCAGCTGCAGGGTCGAAGTGAAGAAAGCTGCAGGGTCGAAGTCCCAGGTCACAAGAACGCTTTCCTGAACGTTCTTTCCGGTCTTTCTAGCAGATTTGGATGCCAGAAGAGCAAGCACTCCGTTTGAAAACGAGATAGACATTTCAACCTTCCGATATCGCAAGTATGGTGCTGTTCGCAGTTAAAGTGAACCTACCTTTCTTTTCTCGGGCACTCGGTCTACTCCAACATTCCTTCGCAGGTTTTAAATATTGTATTCCTCAAATAAGTTGTAGTTTGTAGTGCAAATCACACTGTGCACAGACTAGCATGCAGATTGATAATGAAGACCATGTTCTTCTTATCTGACCACTAGTCAGTTGAGTCAAGCCTGTTTCATCTGTCAGATCCTGTGTGATAAGACGATGTTTTGACCCGTAATCACTCACGACTGGTGAATGGATACAGCACAATAGCCTGATATATACACAGTACAAATCAGTATAAGCGAAATAAAACAAGAACAATCAAGAACGTATTGAGTTCATAAGTTC